GATTTCAGGAGTGCATTTGTTGAGCGTGAAATTTGCAATGAACGGGTAAGCAAGATGCACTATTTGACTCTTTTAACATATTGGTCAGGAGAATTCGATATTGAACTATCTAATTATGTTCAATGTTGTGTTCCAAACGTGTACCAAGGGATCACAAGAACCTGATGAAAATTTCGGTCTAGAATCTTATCTGGATATAAGTCCATAAAAGTTCATGGAATATATACCAAAAAGGCCATAAAGGGGTGCCTTTGTGCATTTCAGTGAATACTGGAAATCTAAAGAAATTCGGCTTGGTAAAGTAGATTTAAATGTGGACCTTTATCGTTGGGCATCAGAAGATGACACTACTACATATATTGGATATACATAAAAAAAGTCATAATCTTATCCATTGTACTGCATACAAAATGTGCTGATATATTTCGTGAGCATGAGAAGCTGATATCCGGTTGGAAATCGTCTATGTGAACAAAAGCAGTGCTCGAAAAAATCTTCATAATTATCTAGAGGAAAGAAAGACCGCTTGTGAAGATCTAGCTAGTGAAGTAGATATCAAAATAAAAACATAAACGAATTGCATGGCAAGGTATATCGAAAGTGTTCAGTAAAGAGCATGCTTTACGAGAAATGAGACCATTCACCTGGCCCAAACTATGGATACCTTGTTTAATTAAAAATGGTAGCTGCATTAAATTTCATATAAAAGAAGGGGATAGTAAACAAAAGATACTTAAAATAGAATGAGAACTAGACAGAAAACAGAAGATACAGTTAAAATGACACAAGATGGAAAAGATGGAGGACGAGCTCAAGGAAAAAAGGAGACATCGGAAGGTTCCTTGCTGTGAAAGGGTGAAATAAACAATGAATTTAGGCAACTTCCACAGAACTGAAAGCGTTGCAATAATTTTTCCTAAAATTATGACATTCACAATAAAAGAGAGTTATTTATACACAAGGATAAGTACAATTTTGACAGCCAATATAAGGTTAAGTCAGTTGGATTAGCCCTTTTCTAATGCAAATGCAACAAAAAATGCTCTCAACCAACCTCCCAGCAGGAAAATAGAAAGAGACTCATCAATCTCTAATTCTGGATATCGTAGAAGAAAGCAGAATGGGAAATTAAGAAAAGGAAAGCACGTGTATCAAACAATTTTCAATGGTAAATAAATGGTTCAGAACATCAAGACAAAAATTTTAAACAAATAAATTTACCACTAAAAACAACTTAAACTTTTAAAGAAGGTGGTTTAACATGGTATCGACGAGACAAGTTCGGAGTTCAAATCTTTTAATCACCCATTTATGAAAATTGTGTGGGTGTCAAGGCTCTAATGACAAAAAAAAAAATAATAATAATAATAATAAATTACTAGTACGTTAGAGGGCGTGTTGAACCATTTAAGAGGGAACCAACAAAGCAAGAATACAATAACCTAACGACGAAAAATAATAGATACAGTACAGGTGAAGCCATCCCAATACAGACAAGCATGTTAGGACAAGTTCATAATCCACAAAAGAAGAATGGATGCCCCAAAACAAGCAAGGCAATGGAATTAATCATATTGCTTCACCAGTTTTCTTTTTCTTTTCAGTTTTTTTGCTTATAGGTATTATTTATAGCCATTATCTGCACAATGTCACAAAATAATCAACAATATAATGCCAGCAAAGCTATTTCCTGGTCATTTTAATTAAAGAACTATGTTGCATTAATTTTACCTTCGAAAGAAAAGGGAATTCATAACTAGATAAAAGTGTAGTGAATTCCCTTTGCTCTTCAAACCTATTTAGCTGCGAGTTTTGCAGTAATATAGCTGTTTTCACCATCTCCAGCAAACTACCATTGTTCTTGAATAGCTAAACCTACTTGATTTAATTTCATAAGAAATTTTCTGAATGTCATCATTAGGTTTCGGTCTTTGTGGTCTCTCCTGCGGAAAAGGAAAAACATCTCTAACTTGTGTACATAGGAAAGAGCAGTGCATTACAAAATATGGTAATGCAACACTTAAAACAGTCCTTTTGCTGTTCTATAATTTAATTTTTACTTCAATTTATATCTCCAGGAAGACAAATGGAAGGAAAATCGTTTTTGGGAAACAGTTTCATTTGGTAACCAAACAAACTACAGATTTCTAGCCATTCAAGTTATCCTACTTATTCTCCAAGATAGGAAACAAGTAAAAGAAGTGTCCATAAATGGAGTCTCAATATAAGACAGTTCAGCAAATGTGTGAAAGTGATTTCAGTGAAACAATTTTAGAGTTCACAGTATATTTGATTTCTAATTCATTTCATTCAAGTTTTTCATTTGCAAGCTTGGTTAATTAATCTGTTCGGTCCTAGTAGAAGACTGACATATCTTGAAATTATCAAAATTCATAAGATATTCATAGATTAATGGAGGCTGGATAAATATGCATTTTATGTGAGTTATTGGCGCCAACTGTGTGATGCAATCTAACCCCACATTCTAATGCACAAGGGATCCTACAAATGACGCAAGATTTCTTTCCCTTTCATATTATTTTCTTATAATTTCCTGGACGCTCATTTAATGTTCAGATTCTAAGAAAAAAATTTAGCTCAATTTTCCACATCCCATATATTTAATTACAGCCTATTTCTCTCTACGAAACTAAGAATGCAAGTTATAGAATGAAATAAGATATTAAACTTCTCATTTATCAGGAAAAAGTGAAACAAAACGGATTCTTCCCTACTAAACTAGCCAAATGGAAACATAAGAACACATGGTGCTTCATATTCAACATATCCTTATTCGTCAATCAAACATAATGAAACTCAACGAGAAATGTTTGACACAAAAGGACACCAAATAATTTCCAGGCAGTTGATAGTACAAACAAACTCTACAATAGCCACAGTTAGAATATAGTATCTAGAGCCATACAAATGGCACACAAGATATCATGTTTGAGCCGACGAAATAATAATCGCTACTGATGTATTAATACCTATTTCTGATAAAGAAAAGTGGTCAACTGAAGACCAGAGAGAGAGAGTTAAAAGACTTGGTCTTCTAAAGAAGATAAAGAATAACAAGAACAATAAACTAGTCTTATTCTCAATAAATATGGGATCATTTCATAAGATGTGAAAATGTTTTGCTTTGACTGTCAACCTAACTCAATCCTCCTCCATCCAGGATTGGACTACACATCACAATAAATACCTACCATATGTGGCAGACTTGGTCTTTGTAGTATCGTTTTCATATTTCTAATTGTTTGTCCTCAAAATATTTTTTTGAGCAGTTGTAGCCATCAGGTTGGGATGGTAATTTTGAGGAGGTTTGATAATAGTCTCTAAGAACATGTCTAAAACCAACTTCCTGGGCTTAGTGCTTTCCTAAATTTTACTCCTTATATAAGCTGCAGAAGTATCAGTTCAGCTATATTCTTTGACTAATGATGCATCTTTCTCTTTGGCTTGATGACCAATGCCCTAGGCATTGCATAGATTTTCCAGCTCCCTTTTCTTCTATTTGCTTTTAATTTCTAGTTCACAAAAAAACCTTTACAGCTCATCATATTAGACGCTGTTACCATGCAACATAAACTTCTTGCTAATATTACTCTAATTGCCCAATCCCAAGCCTCAGTTGATATTGGTGCCAAACGTATGGAAATTCTGCATCAAAAAGATTCTGCGCCTGGATATCCGTGAAAAACTGGTTCGCAATTCAACTTTAAGTAGATTCATTTCTCCTAGTTACTGGATTTCTATGTTTTTTACTTATAAATAATGATTCTGACGAGACTTAATGGGTAATTTTTTAACATGAGAATTATCTTTTACTTTAATAGAAATATATCCATATGACCTGAAATCAGGTTTAGCAAAAAATGAAATAATTCATAAAGGACCTAAAGCCTAAAACAAGAAGAAATAAAGATAGGTGACTTAGATGGATGGTTAATATTCTCACGGCTGATTAGGTGATTAAGGTAGATAGTTCATATCATCACAGCTGAATATTACATCATTGAGTAAATCCAATTCATGATATTAAAAGCACCCCATAGCATAGCCTCTAGAATCCAAGGGACTGACCGAAAAAAGGACCAAAACAACAAAACGACAAGCTGATGGCCAGGCAAGCAGGTTAATTTTATTAGTTCATTCAGATGAACAATGAACTAATCATACCTGATAAATCTCTTCGTCAATGAACTGGTACTCCAGCAAATCCAACAACCATATTCCAGATTGCATATATAAATATGAAGTTTGATTCAAAAGAGAAAATATGTACATTGTATTCAATGCCATTAACACCACAAACAAAATACTAAACTTCATCATGAATGATTTAATTATGCTTCTTGGCTCATAAAAACTAGATTGAAGACAGAAGTGTAGTAATTTAATATTTCTTCCGGAGCAATCAACCAACTTTTAAATTTCAAATTGATTTAATAATGTTGGCAGGAGTCAGCATAAATATCATGTTTAGATCAAAGGATGCATTTGTCAGTTCCAGGTCCATGAAGATATGATTGATTCTTGGAAGAAAGGCATCAAAAGATATGGGTTCTTTCTAATTTATCAACCACAAAAACTGCAACAAATTTTAGTCGATAGAAAGAGCTTCACTCGTTAATCAGACTCTGCTGACTTTTGAGCAGCAATGGTCTGAACTCTGAAGCAATAATGATTCTGATCCGCCATTAAGTCTTCAAGGAGAAATATTAAATGAGACAAACTTCATTGTGAAACAAGTTTGATGAGCCAAAAAAAAAGGGCAAGCTCAATTGTGTCTCATGTTTAAATTATCTACTTCTTTCTTTATGCAAGAGCCCTAGAAGAAAAGGATCATCAAACTTCAAGAGAGTGCAAAGTAAAGAATTAAATTTAATTGATCCAATCTATGAAAATAGCAGCAGAAGTGTTAACAATCAGTATGAAAGAAACAAAAATATCTAACGGAAATGATTTGGAAGTTAAAACGAAATGAAAGGACGAACAGAAACAAGGCAATATTTATTCCCAAAACAGGTTCTTATTTTACTTTATAAATTCATATTTAATTTCATTTAATAAGCAATCTGTCCATTCTCAACATCAAGACCATACAACACTCCAGCATATTTTTCAATCAAGCCATTAAAGAAATTCTCTTTCAACTTGATGAATGTACAACAAGTAAGCAAACTATCAGAACCAGCTTGATGACAAATGCCGACGCGCTCCACTTCCAAAAGCTCGGCAAGGTTGTTTAGTCCACCATGAAGGCTGTTGCAGAACCTAATCAGATGCTTGATATCATAGACAATTGGGAAGTACATCTTGATCAAATCCAAGTACCCTGCCTGAGTATCCGGCAGACTCTGGCAAGTCAACAGCTTCAGCAAGTACCCAAAATCATAGGCACTGTGAAAAGTTACCCACTGCACATTATCATTCAACACTATCCCTGAAGACATCAGAAGCTCGCAAAAGCGATAAGCATCAATACCCTGCTCATTATTTTTCTCGAAATTAATGCCACTATGGCTTAACAGCTCGATAGAGTCATGTGCATAAACATCCTCATTGCGATCAAACTCACGGAAATTGAATTGCCAGACACAGTATTTGCCAGTATCACAGGTGGGAAGGTTTCCCTTCTCATCAGAAAAAGTGAGGCCTAACTGAATTAGCTTGAGAAGATCCACATTGGCCTTCAGAGTGTGAAAATGATACTCAGAGGAGCTCTTAAAATTGCCCAAGGGACGAAGAACAATACCTGGAAACTCGGTGTCCATAGCTATATACGGGTAATCATCTATGATATCACGAATCAAACCAAACTCATATTCAAGATTGTCATTCCAGACTTCCCTTATGTGTATTGTATCGCTTGTAGGCAAAACAGTCATTTTATCATGAAATTCACATCAAACAAAAAAAGGAGATTTTCAAACCTAAATCTGTAGAAAACGGAAATAGAGAAAATTTAAGAAAAAAATAAAATAAAAATTAAAAATCCGAAAAAACCACCCAGATAAATAAAAATCACAAAATGCCAATTAATTCAGTAAACTTGAAAGTCATAGCTGAAAACAGAAACAAAGAGACTGAGATCTGACCTTCAAGATTCGAGCTTTCTGAGCAAAGGGTTCAAGATATATACACATATTTTAATCTTTGGGCTGTCCATTAAAAAGCAAAACGAAGAATTTTGAGCAACTTCTTTTTCCTCTTTTAAGGAACTGAATTTATTTGCACTCCAAAATTAAAAGAGCCACGATTTTTAGTTGGGTATGAACTTCGGAAAAATAAGAATTCGGAAGGTAGGGCTTACAGAGAGATAAATACGCAGTTTGAATGTCCCCGTCTAGCGTGTTATTTGTTTCGATGGTCACTGATTAGATACATGTCTTTAATTAATCATTAAAGTTTAAATGTCGAGTTTTGATTATTAAATTTAGATTCATATTTTCGATTGTTCACTAAAATTTAAAATATCGAGTTTTGACCGCTGAACGTTGAAAAATATTATACATTACTCACTGAACTTTGAAAAATATTGTATGTCTGTACATTACTCACTGTAAATCCAATATCTTCCAAAGTTCAACAATTATGTTAATGAGTAATGTACGGTATATTTCAAAGTTCAATGGTCAAAACTCGACATTTTAAATTTTAATGAGCAATCTAAGACATAGACCTGAGTTCAGTGAGCAATCGAAGACATTGCCCTAAGTTCAGTGATCAAAACTCGACATTTTAAATTTCAATGACCAATCAAAGACATTGACCAAAGTTCAGAAACCATTAGAACAATTAACTCCCGTCTGGCTATCACTTCGCAACATCAGTACCAAAAGTAAAATCTTTGCTTGAGAGAGAGAGTGTGAGTATACGTATGCGTCCCTCTCTTGGCAGGTTGCTAATGTGCTTCGTGGATTTTGATATTTTCTACGATGCCATCCTTATTTTTCGAGGAAATTTATTATTTTTCATAAATGTAAGCGAAAATATATTTTCTACTCTAATAGAAATTTTCTTCAACCCTGTTTTTGGCCCTGACCTTCTGAATTTTTTTAATGAGGAAATTAGGTCTTGTACCCTGTAAAAATAAATATTTTGATTAATACCTTTTTAACTAATTAAATATTTTAATGAAGTAAAAATTACGTCCTAATCTAAACAATGAAGTAAAACTCCAACCCTCAGAGTAATCCGATAGAAAACACCCATTTCTCATTGCTAGAAAACTCTCTCAACATCCAGAGGCAATTTTACCATCTTTAAGAACACTCAACTCTAAATCTCCATTTTGACCCTTTTTCTGTCAATTTCGCATCTGTACCTCCATCTCCATTCATCTTCTCCTTCTAATTTGGTGGAGAGCTTAAACATTTACCCTAAAAGTCTTAAATAGTCTAAACCCTAACCTGTTCCAATCAAAATTCAAAAATCTGAATCTGATTCCGACTTACTCACTTCAACGTTGACTCTGATAACTAACTCCGATTCCTATTTCTGCATTGGTTGGAAAAAGTAGATTGAAGATGAAAAAAAATATTGATGAACTATCTTTAAAGGAGAATAAATCTTATAAAATCAAGGTAGCATTAATTTCTCCAGCTTCCCCTCTTGAATGTATATTTTATTTTTTGTTCCTTTCCGATTTTGATATTTCGTATGTGACTTCTAGTTTTGTTCATTGCCTTTTGTTTTCTATAAATTGAAATATATATATATAAACTAGTCAGTGAGAAGCATTATTTTATAGGCATTTTCTTGATTTTTTTTTTTTAAGGAAAAATGGGGGATTTTATCGAAGAGTTCAAACACAGTTTTGTGTTTTATGGGATTATTGAGAGTAGAGAGGGCATGGAGGGATGGTGGGAGGCAATACAAGATTGAGTTAGGCTAGAGGCTGTTATGTAGACACTAGGAGTGGGAAAGAGTACATGTTTTGGTGCCTTTATCGATATGAAGGAAATAGTGTTGTAGCCAAGACTAATACACCAACTGCAGCTTAGGCAAGTTAAGTAGCCAAAATCAAATGAAATGTGGTTCAACATCCATAACAAACATGCTACCTTTGATTACATTAGCTGGTTTTGATTATTTGATTACATATATCGATTTTGCATTCCCATGTTGCTCATCTCAGTGATTATAAATGGAATTGTTTCGCGCGGGTTAGTCGCTAACAATTAAAAAGGATCAGACGATTGTGTAAGGGACAAAACCTCTTGAGACAAAGTCCCAAAAAGGGGGGTTCTTTTATTGGCGATGACTTTACAATTGGAAATGAAAAACAACGTGCCTCCAAGGGGCGCAAGCACACGAGTTACTGAAAGAAAAGTGTTTAAATCTAAAAATTAAAGAAATGAAAATTACATGTTCTCTGTTCGAGAGTTTTGGATTCGGTCCTTGTTTCTAAGTCCTTTCTCCCTTTTATACTTCATGGATGATCTCTTTGTGATCAACCGCTCTAAAAACTGCTTAATCGTCCTATAATTGCCCACTTTCTTCGTAATGGCCAACTTGTCATGACAACTTCCTTTTTTAACTGCTGCTATTGCTCTTCATCGTTCAACCGTTTTCGATTGAATTCCTCGAATCGTGGAACGTGATAGGGCTGCTTTAATAACTGCTTTGATAACTGCACTTCTTGATAACCACGACGCTTTATGTTTGTTAAGACTTTGGGCGACTTGAAGGTTTGGGCGAGAATAGGGTAACAGCTCTGGGCGACTGTATGACACTCCATTCGCTCAGATTCTGGGCAACTTGCAAACTTGGGCGATGACGTTTACCGCGTTCTTGGGACTCCTTATTTGGGTCTTCATCTTGATTTGTTTGATTGGGCTTTGTTCTTTGGGCTATGTGATTTGGGGATCCTCCAATTGGGCTTCACTTCTTGGGCCGCTTGATTTGGGCTGAATTTTTATGTGTCAACAATTACCCCCCAATATGGCAGAATTAATAATAATTATTAAATTTTTCCATATTCACTTTGTGTTTCCAGCAACATTCGAAATTTCCAAGAATCTCAATCATTGTTTCCTTCTATAACTTGGAAAGGTGCGTCGTTTTGCAAACCCTTATAACCCCCAAACACGCCATTTCACTGCACTACTAAATCACGCCTCAAATTTTTTGCGTCTCTCTCAAGATTTACTGTTCATCCTTTGCTTCCCTGCTATGTAACCCTGTAAAACTTCGTTCCGTCTCAAATGGCTACTTGACAATCTCAAACTGGCGACTCCTTTAGTTTCGATGACTTTCAGAAACTCCTGAGTCGTCCATACATAACTCCGAGTTTTCTCGCACCCGCCGACGTTGGACGTAATGAGTTCTACTTGGGTCCTTTCTTCAACAATGCAGAGGCAGTTGAACAGGCAGCGGTGGGTCAGCTGTTTCCTTGCACTCAGGGCCCTCCATTTCTGAACTCTCTATCGCTGGGGCCACTTCGCGAAAGAGGTATTCGCACTTGGCCTAAATCTGATGTAGCTTTCTGTAGGTGGCATACTCATCATCATTCAACTTATGTTGCAAGCACACTCTAATCGACTGCACGTTGATTTCCATAAGCAAAACAGCCTCCTGTCCATAAACAAGTTGGAAAGGAGTAACCTTGGTACTTGACCGAGGTGATGTCCTATAAGCCCATAAAGTCTTGTTCAGATATTCGTGCCAATTTCTGGCGTTTTCATCTATCATCTTTCTGATGATATTTTTTGGAATCTTATTAGAAGATTCCGCTTGTCCGTTGGATTGAGCGTAGTATGGTGTGGAGTTTACTAATTTAACTCCAAACTCGCTCAAAAACTTATTCACTTGATCCCCATTCAAAGATGTTCCGTGATCTACCATTAACATTTGTGGAATTCCAAACCTATAAATAATGTGATCACAGATAAACTCTATAACATTCTTCTGGGTGATCTCTTTCAAAGGTACCGCCTCTACCCATTTGGTGAAATAGTCGGTTGCAACTATAACAAAAGTATGTTGCTTGGACGATGGGGGATAAATCTTCCCTATCAGATCTATCGCCCAACCCTTGAACGGCCAAGGCTTAATAATAGGTGACATCTCTCATGCTGGCGCCCTTTGTATTGGACCAGGCTTTTGGCATGCTAAACAACTCTTTGCATACTGAACGCATAGTTCTCCCATCTTTGGCCAAAAATATCCACTCCTAATAATTAACCATCTCATCCTTTGACCAGTCTGATGAGCTCCACATATCCCTTCGTGCACTTCAGCCATGATCATCTTGGCTTCTTGCAAACTTACACACTTTAGTAGTACACCATCAGAGCGTTTGTTAAACAACTCTTCATCTATTAGTGTGTAATTCAGCAAACATAGCTTCATTTTCCTACTAATCCCTCCATTAGGTTCTTTAAGGAACCCTTCAATCCCTGTTCTCCAATCTATTGCATCTCCATCTTGTATGCTGTGGAGTTCAATTTTACTCGTCCTTCTTTGAGTCACGGGCAATATGATTCCATACTCACAAGTAGACTTCCAATTCAAAACCTTTGAGTACTCCGATGCCATTTGGGCTAACTCATTTGTCACGTCGTTATATATCCTATTAACGCATTGGAGTTCTACTTGATCGAATTCTTCTAATAACTTTTGGGTGATCTCATATTAACTTATAATGGAATCACTTTGGCATTTAAAATCACCGATCAATTGATGGATCACCAATTGAGAATCGCCCCTAACGATCACATTTCTTACTCCCATATCTATCATTAGTTCTAAGCTTACAATTAAGGCTTCATATTCGGCCTGATTGTTGGTGCACATTCTGTCTAAGGTGAATGCAAACTTGTAGCAAATCCCTAAAGGATTAATCAATGCTACTCCTACTCCTGCACCTTTAGAGGTTTTTGAGCCATCGAAATACAACACCCAAGGTTTTAACTCGAACGAATTGATTTCTAGTTCGATTTCTTCAGGCATGGATGATCAGCTAGAAAGTTAGCCAAAGCCTGATTTTTGACTGCCTTTTGAGGTATATATTGTATTTCAAATTCTGATAAAGCTAGTGTCCAAAGGCCTACCCTTTGGTGTAAAATAGGGCGCGAGAACATATACTTAACTAAATTTACTTTAGAAATTAAATAAACGGTTACGGGCCGCAAATAAGCCCTTAATTTTGTACATGTGAAATACAATGCAAGGCATAATTTTTCAATAGCAGAGTAATTACATTTACATTTCGTTAACCGTCTACTTAAGTAGTAAATTGCCCTTTCTTCACCAAATTGGTCTTTCTGTGCAACCATTCCAGCTATTGATTCTTTTTCAGCCGATACATACACTTTCATTGTCCGTCTTTGGATTGGTGACACCAAC